TCCAAATGAAGATCGTATCTTCATCAGGGCTGGCAACCCCATTGGCAATTGGGACCATAATGCAGTTGAGCTGTCTGTGAGCAGGTACGTAATCTTAAACGAATTGTCAGTTAAGCCCATGATGGCTTACTGTATGGGCACATTGTCTAAAATCCAGTTTTCACTTATATATTATATTGCATTTTGGATTTGCTGCACCTTATACTTCATTCTGCTGTTCTTGTTCATGGACAAGTTAAAGTGCTATCTAGTGGTAGTAAGAGCGCAATACACTAATTCATGTAGAATCAAGATGGCAGCCATTTCTGCCAAGTCAGCTGATCCCAACACGAGAGTAGACATGTTATAAAACCTGATCATATTTTATGGTTGAATCTTGTTTATTTTTGCTCAATAACTTTTGTAGTTTGATATGGTAATTAAATTTGATCAATTTTAGTAATAGTATAAAGCTAAGACTGTGTTAATTGTATTGCTTAGGACATTGGGACTTTATTACACAGACTGTTCCCACGGACAAAAAGGGCATCCCTAGCTGGGAGTATGGAGCAAGGAAAATTCATACAGAGTTACAAAATGAACAAATCGTAAGGCTTTTAGATATGTTGGATCATTTACAATTTGGTTTTTGCCTAGCCATGTTCAGGCGCTGAAAAGAACAGTTTTAGACTTGAACAGTGACAAAACATTAGAGTTACAAAACATTGACCAAGTGTGTCATTGTTAGTGATTTTGTACTTACTGTTCAAAGACAGTTCTAGTTTTTATACTTACCAGGTCCTATTTATCCCATATAGTACATGGACTAAACACCATGTACATTTGCTTTTCTATTCCTTTTCATGCAGGGATCTTGGAGAACATGGTTTTCTGGTGGAGGGCAGTCTTCCTACAGTCAGAGCTGAAGCTGAGTCTGTGTCGATACCATACAAATATGTTGTCTATAAAAAGAACACATATGAGTATGAGTACATATACAAACTGGATTCCTCAAACCACACTACCAACAGATGTTTGTTTGTGAAACCACGCCTCGTCACTGATGATGGTAAATGTTACCAGCTGTAATTACATCATTATATTTGCCTGCATGCAAATGGCATCTGATCATTATATTATGGTGTACTTGTGTCACACACATTCAATTTCTGTTGTATCTTTTTTGTAAAGGGGACTGGCATCAATATGATGATATCATCTGTGCTGCACCTTCGAAGAACGTGATCAAACGCTGGAAAGACACCATCAAAGAAAAGATCTGGCCTGAACAAAGGAAGGATCTGATTCAAGGCAGAGAGATCGCAGGGAAAGTGATGCTGGACACCATATTTGATCTTCTCAGGACCTGGACTGACACCAATTTGAAAAGTTTTCAGATCCAGCTGAACCAGTTCTGTCAGGTTTATGGCGACCCTTTTGTGTATGAGGAAAAACAAAAGAAATGGTACTCCTTAAACTATGGGGAAGAAGATGTAAGTTTATTATCTTGGTGTACAAAGTCTAGTTGCACCCAAGTACATCCAACCCAGCTTACTCTCTCTCTCTCTCTCTCTCTCTCTCTCTGTCTGGAATTATGTCCTAGGTGAGGAGGATGTTAAAGGAATTCATGCTCACAAAGATGATTCCTCAGTTGCTGAAGGATGGAGATGGCAAGATGCTCTACATCCAGGACCCCATGAGAGCTGCTGTGATCATGCTCCATGTATGGAGACAGCAGCAATTCAAACTGGATAATGCAGAGCTCTATCGGCTCTGCGATGCACTCTCTTTACCCATACGAGACCAAGATGACTTCCTGCAGTACTGGACAGAGTTCTCGCAGGATGTTGCTTTTTTCAAAAAGTACGTACCCAATCATTTGAATCATCCTGCAGTCATATAACACAGATCAGCCAAAACATTAAAACCACTGACAGGTGAAGTGAACAACACTGATCATTTTTTCACAATGCAAATCATGTGGATGCCACCTGACACGCTCCACCCACTTAAACACCAGTGCAGACCAGGTACCCCCCACTATGGCAACGGCACTCCCCAGTAGCTGTGGCACGCCAACAGAACAATGCGCTATGCCACACCACAAAAACTGCTCAGGAATGGCCAGGGGAACGTGACAGAGACCTCAAGGCATCAACCTGGCCTCAAATTCCCCAGATCCCTATCTGATCAAACATCTGTGGGACGTGTTGGTACCCCACCTCACAACCCACAGGACTCAAAAGATCTGACGCGTTGGTGCCAGACACCACGGGACACCCTCCAGAGGTCCTGTCTCCATGCCTTAACAGGTCAAAGCCAAGTGCGGTCCAAGGAGCACCCGACGTGGATCAGGGGTACCTCTTGGGTACCAGCTCGTCCCTCAAATGTTCGATCAGGTTGGGATCTGGGGTATTTGGAGATCAGGTCGATGCCTTGAGCTCTTTGTTCTGTTCCTCGGGACATGGCTGAACAGTTTTTGTGATGAGGCATGGTGCATTGTCCTGCTGGGGGGGCCACTGCCATCGATAAGTGCCGTTGCCATGAGAGGGTTTATTTTGTCTGCAACAGTGTACGGATGGTTGGAGCACATCAAGTAGCATCCACATCAATGCCAGGACCCAAGGTTTCCAAGCAGAACATGACACTGTAACAAGATGATCAATGTTATTCACTTCACCCACCAATGATCTTAATGTTTTGGCTGATTGGTGTATATCTTAATAAATTGAAATGCCAGTCAGTATCTAATGATTACAGATTAACTATAGATGCTTTACTGTTCAAATAATCACAACATTTTCTTTGTTGCAGCCTGCCAGTCATGTTGGTGCATCTGATACGTACGGTGAAAACAACAGGAATGCACCGATGGATTCTGGTACTACCGCTTCTCCACCTTCTCAAAGGCAACATAAAGCCCTTTGAAATACCAACTTATGGAAACGCGAAGTACGGCCTGTCCTGGGCAGGTTTGCAGGGCCTTGACATTGGTACCTCAACAGTATACATGAACAGTCAAGAGAGGAAGTAAGAGTCCCCCTACCTT